TATTATGTTAAGTTCGTGCTTTGCTCATGTTTGTTAATTATGTGCTGTATATGTTGTTCCAGTCCACCTTTTCCTTCCTAATAAATTTATTGAAAATTGAAAAATAGCGCAAATGTTATCAGAAAAAAAAATCTTTGTGCTAATGAAGGTGCTTATTGTGTACAAGATGAAAATATCACAGTAAAACAATTGAATTCGACAAAATCCAATCAAAGCCGATCACTTTTTGTTGTTTTTGTCCTGTTTGAGGATGAAGGCATTCGGGAAGTAGTCCGAATGGTAGTGTGTGCCAAAAGCAACTACCTGTAAAACGTAGATGGACTGGCGACCTGCGCACCTATAGCGAGTGTTTCTGTGGAGCTGTGGAGGGGCGGGGGGGAGCACTCGCCCAAACTAATAAACAGTGTTTCATTAAACAAAAAAAAAAAAAACATACACACAACAAAACAGACCGATGAGCATCGGAGATCTAGCAGCAGCTCCAAGCTGTTAACCGCATAATTGTTTGGCACAACTCTCATTTCATTTCTAATCACATCATTATATGTCAGGGAATGGGAGCTCGAGTCAGGAAATGGGGTATTTCCATATCACATGGAATCGAAGAGCAACTGGGCATGGCGAAGGGGTTTAGGTTGCAGCTTCATTTCGTTGTTGCTAACACCTTGTTCCTTTTGCAGCATACTTGCTGGCAGTGTTGTCATGGCCTGCTGTTCCGAAAGTTTCTTAGGAGCAAGTCGGTGATAAGTTTTGGTTTCGAGCATTTGCCAGTGCCAGTTTATTACCGAAAAGTAAAGAATATGTCTTGAATAAGTCAGGAAAAGGAATTTGTACGCGTCTTGTGATTGAAGCGTTAAAAACAGCATTGAGTTTTTTTTGTCCGTCAATGGCATCCATACATAAATTCCAATGTTACACGTGGAGCACGGGAAGAGGCAATATACACTATTTGAAGGACCAGAATTTATTAGGAAATGAGAGATTCGATTTCCTTCCAGTCTAAACCGTTTGAGAAAAGACTCCGTTTGAGGCATATTTGTATTTGAATGTTCGTTTGAAAGTCTATTTTTACAGTATGTATTTTGAATTCATTTTTTTACACGACAAGTTCTTCACTGGCACAAATCTTCTAACTAAGTTTTTATTAGTTCTTTCAATTTTGTTATTTACTGGCTATAACTTAGCGAGTTAGAGCTCGCGATTTTGCTTCCCGGAGCCGGACTGGTTGAGAAGAGGACTAATAAATTATGCAGCAATTTTGTTTCATGCAATCATTGGTATTCGTCGATTTTCCTATTGAACATACCAATATCCAGAAGAAATGCTTTTTCTCTGCACTGCGTCGTATTCCATATTGGCCGTGAAAAGGGTTTCGTGAATATCACCATTGAGATGAAGAACACAACTATGGCGGAGTATAAAGCAAGTGACACATAGGCCAGTATCCTTTCCCAGGGATGTTCCTAGAATATGTGAAAACAGCTGTCTTTTTTATTTTCTACATGTATTTATTCTTAATAACAAACTATTCTTATCTTAGAAAACATGGTCATCAGTAAACTGACCACAAGCCGATGCAGTTTTGGTTAAAGCGAATGGAAAAGTTGCTAGCTGTGTATTTGGAATCTGGTTGAATAAAATTTTTTGCGCAAAATTGGTCAAATATCAAAACCCTCTCCGTATTCGTTTCCTGTGGGAGGCAAAGTCAGTTTGAAGTAGCCCAATCATTAGCAAATGCAAACAGCAGCCACTCGTTTACAAGTCTACCGACGGACTTTCGACTGCCGATTCGTACGCAAAAAATGTGTTTTGCTTAAAGCTACAAGACTGGGAAGAATCCTTTGGTGCGTTACTGATACTTTTCGCTGTTCTAGTCGGAACATTTTATGATAAAAGAAAAAGTATTGAAGAGTGGTGAGTTTGAGAAAACTGATGACGGCGGGTTTAGCTCCCTGGCAATACCAATTTACCATCGAAACAAGTAAGCTTCTCCCTCCCCTCTTCTACTTGATCAGTGATGTGACTGAAATGAGTGGCGATCACCTTAACATTGTGCAAGATGGCAATTCCCAGCACTACTCCAGTAAGAGCACCAGCAATGTGAGCCGTATAGGATACACGATCGCATTCATCGGCCTGCAGACGACGATATATAGCAAAGCCGCAATCCCATGTGATCCATGCAGAAATAAGTGTTACTCGAATATATCGGTGTGGCATTTCAGACCAGTTCTGTGAAAAAAAAAA